CTTCTTCAGAAAAAGGGTTTCTCTTCTTTCTGAAGAAGGATCTAGGCCCGAAACGTCAGCCTTCCTGCTCCTCTGATGATGCTTGGCCTGCTGTGTTCATCCAGCTCTACACCTTGTTATCTCAGATTCTCCAGCATCTGCAGTTCCTACTATCTCTGAAACACTTCCAATTAATTCTTTTTTGTTACTGCAGGTGGTGGATTTGCTAGTATCCATGTGCCGATCCGCTCTGGAATCTCCCCGAAAAGTAGTCATTTTTGAGCCATATCCATCTGTGGTGGATCCCCTCGATCATCGGAGCCTGGCATTTAATCCGAGGGTATTTTGCTTTTTGTTAATTAACATCTAGTTAATGACTGTCTAGTGTATCACTGGTATCTGAATGTACTTCATCTACTTTACACCAAGCAATCAATGTGGGAAAATGTGAACATGTCCACTTCAGCAGGAAAATAGAAAGGCAACATTATTTAAATGGAAAGAGATTTCAGAACTCAGTGATATATAGGGATCCAAGTATCTATGAATTACAAAACATGAATACACAAGTACAGCAAGTCATTACATAGGCACATGCAATGATGATGTTTATTTGAGTGACAATGGAATATAAAAGTAGGGATGTTTTATTACAGGAAGTAATGAACTTTTTGATCACCTCATTTAACACTTGTCTAGTTTATTACACTGACTGGGCCTCATCATACACTTAATGTATCTTGGTTAATTAAGTGCATCACATGTAATTTGGGTGAAGACTTGTCTCTGTAACCATATTCTTTGAATCAACATTGATGCGGCCTAACTCCTAGCTATTGATTTACTTTTACCTTAATCTACTATGGTTACAAGTACCTTCTCACCTTCAACCTTCCTTTCCTCTCCAAGGTCCTTGAATGTATAGTTACCTTCCAAATCAATGCCAGCCTTTTCAGGAACCCTATCTTTATATTCCTCCAATTCAGTGTTTGTCCATTACATTAATGAAATAACTCTTATAAAAGGCACAAACGACACCCTATGTGAATGTGACTACTCTGCTTTATTCTTTTTAATCTGGCTTCAACCTTTGACGCTGTTGATGAGGATGGAGTGTTCAACAATGTCAAAAGCTGTAAGCAGTTTTGATAAATACCCAATAATGAATGGGACTGGAGAATATGAATTAAGATGTTCAAATACTTTAAGGGACTTAGGAATTCCTGTGTTGCTGCAGATTGTTATCTTTGCAGAACAGGGTTGATTAGCTATATTATGAAATGGATAGATCTGCCAAATTTTATCACAATTACTTTTGGGGATCTGTAGGTTCTTTATATCTAAATTCTCTCAGGATAATAAATAAGTAACATAAAGTTCATGGTCGAATAATACGAATATAAAATGTGGATAATAGCCTTTTTACATTCTTCCTTTAGATTTTTATAAACTTGGTCACATTTAAATGAAATTGATTGCTCAGCATAAAAATGCATATAAGTAGATTTCAGAAAGAAACTTAAACTTAATGTGCTCAATTCAAGACAACAAGGTGCAGAGCTGGATGAACACAGCAGGCCAAGCAGCAAAATTCAATTTATTTTACTTGCTCAAACCATTCACATTCACCAGAGAAATGTCTTTTTCAGCAGTGTGTCTTTACTGCGCTGAAATTGGGCAGGCGAGCTTGACACTTGTTAGCCATCTGTATAAATCTGTATAAGTCCATTAAAAAGCCTAATGGAATTTTAAATTCTAGCACCACAGTTGAAGAAGATAAAAATCAGGACGCAATGATAAGTCTATCTGTCCAACCTTAATAAGACTTTAATTAGAGGATTTTGTGTAGCATTGTTATTCTCATTTTAAGAAGATCCACTCAGCCAGGAAATTCAAATATAATGAAACACTTGAAAAATTAGAACAAGAATGTCAGTCAATGTGATACAATTATTTTTAATTGTAAAGGATGAAGCAGGGCTGTTAGCACAAGACTGTTGCTAATAGTTTAGGATCTAGAACTAGGACCTATAGATGACGTGTATAAGGTTTAGAATGGGGAACAGGAGAACATTTTCTTCACTCAGAGTTATGGGCATGTGTAATTTGCTTTATATTAGTTGCTGATGCAGAGAAAGTGGGCTGGACCCAATGTGGAAGTTTCACACCCATTTCTGACAGTTCCCATTTTTAGCCAGTGATGGGGGAGGGGAACTAAAAATGATTCACATGGGTGGGCAACCAATATTCAACAGGGCTATTTATACCCAAGTTCAAAGACACCCCATTTTGACTTTAGCAAGAACCCTGTCCCACAATATAAGAGTCACAAATGGACTAGCCACTCTTTAGGGTGGATATGATCTATTTAACACTCCCCTTTTTTTTTTAATTTTTTTCTCTTCAAATTATTTCTTTAAAAGAACTGTAACTGTATGTTTGTTGCTGCTTAAAAATAATTCTGGACTACTTTGTATTGAGAGATAAGCTGGTATGTTATCTGTTCATATAGTTTCAATAAAGTTCTTGTTGACATTTTTGTCAGGGCTATTGATTTTATAAATAGATTAAGGACAAAAGGGCCCCTTAAAGAATAGGAAGGCCACCTATGTGTGGAGCCACAGGAGATGGGAGATGGGAGATGCTAAATGAGTATTTTACATCGGTGTTTACTGTGGAGAAGCATGTGGAAGATAGAGAATGCGGGGAAATAAATAGCGACATCTTGAAAAATGTCCATGTTACAGAGGAGGAGGTGCTGGACAGCTTAAAATGCATAAAAGTGGATAAATCTCCAGGACCTGATCAGGTATACCCTGAAACTTTGTTGGAAGCTAGGGAAGTGATTGCTGGGCCCCTTGCTGAGATATTTGTATCAACGATAGCCAGAGGTGAGGCGCCAAAAGACTGGAGGTTGGCCAACATGGTGCCACTACTTAAGAAGTGTGGTCAGAAAAAGCCAGGGAACGATAGACTGGTGAGCCTGACATCAGTGGTGGGCACGTTGTTGGAGGGAATCCTGAGGGACAAGATTTACATGTATTTAGAAAGGTAGGGACTGATTAGAGATAGTCAGCACTGCTTTGTGTGTGGGAAATTGTGCCTCACTAACTTGAGGTTTTTGAACAAGTAACAAAGAGGATTAATGAGTGCAGAGTGGTGGACTTGTTCTGTATGGACTTCAGTATGGTATTTGACAAGGTTCCTCGTGGTAGACTGGTTAGCAAGGGTAGATCACATGGAGTACAAAAGGAACTAGCCATATGGATACAGAACTAGTTCGAATGTAGAAGACAGAGGGTGGTGCTGGAGGGTTGCTTTTCAGACTGGAGGCCTGTGACCAGTGGTGTGTCACAGGGATCAGAGCTGGGTCTACTGCTTTTTGTCATTTATATAAGTGATTTGAATGTGAACATAGGAGGCATGGTTAGTAAGTTTGCAGATGACACCAAAATTGGAGGTGTAGAGGAGAGTGAAGAAGATTACCACAGAGTACAATGGGATCTTGAACAGATGGGTCAATGGGCCGAGAAGTTACAGATGGAGTTTAATTTAGATATATGTGAGGTGTTGCATTTTGGAAAGGCAAATTACAGCAGGACTTAAACTCTTAATGGTAAGGTCCTGGGGAGTGTTGCTGTGCAAAGAGACCTTGGAGTGCAGGTTCATAGTTCCTTGAACATGGAATCTCAGGTAGACAGGATAGTGAAGAAGGCATTTGGTATGCTTGCCTTTATTGGTCAGTGCATTGAGTATAGGAGTTGGGAGGTCATGTTGTGGCTATGGAGGACATTGGTTAGGTCATTATTGGAATACTGCGTGCAATTCTGGTTTCCCTGCAATAGAAAGGATGTTGTGAACTTGAAAGAGCTTAGAAAAGATTTACAAGGATGTTGCCAGTGTTGGAGGGTTTCAGCTATAGGGATAGGCTGAGGCTATTTTCCGTGAAGAGTCGGAGGCTGAAGAGTGACCTTATAGAGGTTTATAAAATCATGAGGGGCAAGGAAAGGATAAATAGACAAGGTCTTTTCCCTGGGGTGGGGGAGTCAAAAACTAGAGGGCATAGGTTTAATTTGAGAGGGGAAAGATTTAAAAGGAATCTAAGGGGCAACTTTTTCACGCAGAGGGTGGTGCGTGTATGGAATGAGCTGGTACAATTACAATATTTAAAAGGCATCTGGATGGGTATCTGAACAGGAAAGGTTTAGAGTGATATGGGCCTAATGCTGGCAAATGGGTCTAGATTTATGTAGGATATCTGGTCGGCATGGATGAGTTGCGCTGAAGGGTCAGTTTCTGTGCTGTGCATCTCTATGGCTCTATTATGAATGCTTGACTGAGCTTCAGAAGTTGAATCATCTCAGCGGGCTTCTGAGTTTACATTTTGATTGACAATTCAAGAGGTTAATAAAGGATTAAGAGTATGAACAGAAAATTTTTTGTTTTATCAGCGATCAGTAGCTTGAGATTTAAAAGTTTGGAAGTTTTCATGAGGAATTGCATTTTTCAAGATGTAGAGAGGCTATATTAAAAGTTGGAATTAGTTTGGAGGTATGAGTTGGCATGGAGTTTGAGAGGCCATGGTGGTAGGTGGGGGGAAAATGAAGGCCTAAAGAACTGAGGTCTCCTTCACACTTGTGCCCTCCTAGCATTGTGTCAGAAGTCAGCAGACACGACCTCATCACATAGCTGAACCCCACCAGAGTAAACACCTCGTGATTCGGAACTTTCTTTCCAAGGCAGGTAATTTCTTGACTCAAGCCTGACAGGAGGAGCCTTTCCACTGGTGGGAGAACCTAGAGTCAGGAGTCACTGTTTTAAAAATAAGGGACTGCACTTGTAAAGTAAGCAATGAGGAGAATTCCTTCTTCTTCGTTCTGAGGGTCGAGAGTCTCTGGAAAACTCTTTTTCACAGGTCTTTGAATACTTTTAAAGTTGAAGGAAATAGAATCTTGATAAGCCAAAGGCTGAAAGGTTATTGAGGGTTTGCAGGAATATGGAGTTGAGGTTACAATCAAATTTGAAGGGCTGAGTGGCCATCCTTGCTCCTAATTCATACATTTGTATATTCTTCCCTCTGTAGCCAAAATCCAGTTTGCTCTAGCAATGTTCAAGATTAGATTGTATAGGTGCAATGAAGATAACAGATGGGTGTGAATAAATATGGTGGTATCTAATTGATAATATGAAACAGCAACATCAAGAGGGGCAAATGGTCTGATTCAGTTTCACAACTGTGATGTATTATTATGAATTGGAAACAGGCTGGGGGCATATCACTATTGTTAATCATCATCTCGCCTGTTTTGCAAACTCTATGCTAAACTGTTTTTCTTACTTTTAACTAGAAAAAAGACTATGAACGATTAGTTAAAGCACTGGACAGCATCACATCCATCAGGGAAATGACCCAGGTAAGCCCCAAAGCTTGTAACCAAGTATTAGACTGCATTCACTGGGAGCAAAGTTACATCTGTCAACATTTTAAAATACTTTTGGGATGCAGGTGAGATCCAGTCCCAAAAACCCCAAACCTTCTTGGAAAATCCACTCATCAGGATGACCAATCAGAAAAGAGCCCCTATAAAGAGAATGGAAGGAAATAGTGAGAAGCTACTCCTCTGATCAGAAGTGGGATCTCTCCTGTGCTTGCTGCTGTCAGGGTGTGAGTTTGGGGTGTGGTGTGAGTGCAGATGTGCTACATAAAAGCTGTAAAACTTCAGAAGCTTACACATTGGGAAAATATAGTGGATGTGATTGTGATGAAAACAATGTCAGTTCTATAATTTAACATTTCAGAAAGATTTGCATTTATTTATTCTCATATCTTAAAGTGTCTTACATACCTGAGATGCAGTGACTGTGTTAGAATTATACATGCAATGATTTAGCTGTGACCTTGCCAATCTGTGAAGAATGTCTTTAGGATGATGGCTTTTTGTGTATGGTAGTGTGGTTAAAAAAGTGATTGTTATTAACTTAGGCCAATTGAAAACTTGTTGCATCTAGAAAATTAATGCTTTACTTGTTTGTTGTGGCTTTAAGTTTAAACAGCAATGATGATTATAGGGAAAATGGATGAATTCTTCTAACTCTGCTTCTATGTGTGTCCAAATTGCCATACATCAACACAAAAATAGAAGGTATTGCTACTAATTGACTGCATCATCTTATGGAGGAGTCAGTGAGACTGAGAAAGAAACCCCTGAAAATCAATAAGTAACACGTGAGAAACCTCAAGAGGAGTCTTTGAGAATGAAACTGTTTTGAGCCCTTACTGTTATAATCAGCATGTATTGTAAACCATAAAAGGAAGGAAGAATCTGTAGGAGTAGTTTTTGTTCTAATTTTCTCCATCTCTAGAAAATATTTTTGTCTCTGGCTCTAAAATATTACCAAATGAAGTACCTTTGAGATTTACCATTCCTTAAGCCTTTAGTTGTTTCAAGGGGTGTTGAATGATTTGTGAAAAGGCACTATTACTAACAATGTAGCCTGTATGTTATAACAGAAACAGAGAAAATATTAGCAGGACTGGACCATTTGGCTCTTTGAACCTGCTGCACCATTCATTATGCTCATGGATGATCATCCAACTCAATAGCCTGATCTCAGCTTTCCCCCATATCCTTTGATCCCTTTAGCCCCAAGAGCTATAGCCAACGGAAATCATACAATAGTTTGGCCTCGGCTGCTTTCTGTGGTATTGAATTCCATAAACTCACCAATCTCTGCGTGAGTCCAAGGAAACTGATATGGAACTATCAAATCTCAAAATATGATCTCTGTTGAATGATTATATATAAAAATTCAGCAAATAATGTGACTTTGAGAATTAAGGCAAATCCAAGTCTGCATCAATTCTCATCTAAAGAAAAAAATTGACACTGAATGATTCTAAGCATTGTAGAATCTATATTGCTGTCGCTAATTTGCGTTACATAGCTGCCTCAAAGGGAATTAGAACAAACATGCAAATCTTCAAGAGGCAAGGCACTCAGATATTTTACACAGATATGACAAATACATTCAACTGAATTAATTTGCTTTAAGTGTTCACATTTTCTGTTCTTGAAAGTCTTTTGATTCAATTCACTCATGATGCTTCCTTTCTCCTTGAAATATGATCTTATCAATTTTCTGACCTCACCTAATCGCTATCTTTCTTTTTCTCTTTCTATGTGTTCGCCCCTTCCCTCAGTCTGTCCCTTCCTATAAGCTGTTCACCTGTAATGATTTCCAGTTCTGATGCAGAGCTATGCTTGAAAAATTAACACTTAGCCTTTCCTTACAGTTGCTGCCTTTCTTGCTGAATAATTACAGCATTCTTTTGTTTATGTTTGAAAATGATTTATTACTAGACATGCTTACAGAGCACTGGGGTAAGGTACTTTGATCAAGAGTTACTGTGCTAGACATATGCGAACAGCTTGCATTTCAATAGAACCTTTAAAGTAGTCAAACCTTCCAAGGTGTCATTTTTGTATTTTCCATACAATACATTCATTTTGTTTTGTGTACTGTTTTTGTGTTTTCTAACCAAATGTTTTATACAAATAGATAATGTCTAGATTATTCAAGAATCATGCATATTTTCCGAGAGGAAACCATTTGATGTTCCCTATCCCACTCCATTCCAATGATTTTCTTAGCTCCTAACATGCTACACTAAAATTGTAAGACACTGCCTGTATTATACACTGTGATCACAACAGTCCCTTTGTAGAATATGAAGCCCCTGAAACTCAATGAGTAACACTTGAGAAACCTCAAGAGGAGTCTTTGAGAATGAAAATATTTTGAGCCCTTACTGCTATTATCAGCATGTATTGTAAACTATAAAAGGAAGGAAAAATCTGCAGAAGTAGTTTTTGTTTTAATTTTCTCTATCTCTAAGTAAATATTTTTGTCTTTGACTGTAAAATATTATCAAATCAATTACCCATTGAGATTTACCATTCCTTAAGCCTTTAGTTGTTTCAAGCGGTGCTGAATGATTTGTCTAAAGGCACTATTACTAACAATGTTGCCTGTATTTATTAACAGAATCAGAGGAAATAGTAGCAGGAGTAGGCCATTTGGCATTTCGAGTTTGTTGTGCCATTCGTTATGATCATGGATGATCATCCAACCCAGTAGCCTGATCTGACATTTCCTCCATATCCTTTGATCCCTTTAGCCCCAAATGAAAACGATTTATCACTACAGACTCTTACAGAGCACTGGGGTAAGGTACTTTGATCAAGAGTTACTGTCCTAGACGTACACAAACAGCTTGCATTTCAATAGAACCTTTAAAGTAGTCAAACCTTTCAAGGTGTCATTTTTGTATTTTGCATAAAATATGTTCTTTGTTTCGTGCACTGTTCTTGTGTTTTCTAACCAAATGTTTTATCCAAATAGATAATGCCCAGATTATTCTAAAATCATGCATATTTTCCTAGAGGAAACTGTTTGATGTTCCCTATTCCACTCAATTCCAATAATTTTCTTAGCTCCTTACAATGATGTTAAATGCTACACTAAAATTGTAAGACACTGTCTGTATTATGCACTGTGATCATAGCAGTCCCTTTGTAGAATATGAAGGGGCTGCACTTATTAAAAATTTTCATCTAATCCTTATTTAGGTGTTTTCTAGATGTGGCCCAGACGTTTCTGCAGGTAGACAAGCATTGGCCCATAACGCCTAATGTTTTAAGAGATGTTCACATTTTTAGTAGATCCATTAAAATGATGATTAAATTAA